ACGAACTACATACAAAGGTGTTCTTAGTAACGCGACAGAAACTTTCTTCTAAAAACATCGCCACGTTGGATTTATAATGGCTTCAAGATGGATCGTGCAATCGCGATTCGTTATTCCGAACTACGTTTCGACTATCCATACGTGTTAGCATCAAATTTTCAGGACTCGCGTATACCAATTACTTTTTCACGTTTCTTGCCTATTCCTAGATCTTCGATTTATACATTCCGGTGCTTTAGATTCGCAGCTATTCTACGTACGTACATATTTATACGTATGCAGAACGCGGCGTAGGTTACAACAGCGACCGTCGATAAATATAAATGCATGCTGAATTTTAATTAATCAAGCACATGCAGCCGATGCTATTTGATTTACGAACCCTTAATATTTCATCGAGTCCAGACATTTTAATCCGACCCAGAATATTTTACAAACAAGAAGCTTGCGCTTACTGTAATTTAAATTGTCGAGCAAAAAACGAGTTCGGTCACGTTCAAATTGTTTCCAACGATGATATGGAAATTTGTAATGTCGCCTCATAGTCGTCGATCGTATAAACGATCTTTCAAGCTTCTTACCCGAGGAAGAATCGATTCAAATCGTCGTTTAACGATTCGTCGATCATTTTAACCAGTTAACTGTGGCGATCTCTTTGCAAAGCGCCCACCAGCGTGTGTCGCGATAATGAGTTAGCTCTCAGGAAGTTATGAATCCAACTCAAATTATCGATAATTTTCATTTGTTTGTTACTTTTTTGTCTCGACCTCTAAACATTTTAAACATATTAAAATTTATATACGAATATAATTTAGTTTTCGCCAGAATTACAATTTAACCCCTTAACGCACAGTTTTCTTGAGAAAAAAACCGGCCAAAAAAATCAATTTTTTTCTATGTAAATTGTTCCATGGAAAAAGGCTATATTTTATTCTTGAATAAATAAGTGTTACAGCTTACAATCCCATGTAAATGATAAATATCAATAAAACGATTTTTTTTCTTTGCTTCCACATTGTTATTTTCAATTCTCGATTATATCCGAGCGTGAAAAATTATAGCAGCACAAAATACAACGCCGCTCGAATTATCTTGGCCCGTTTAGCGTGCACGAATTAACTCGAGCGTACAAGTTAACGGGTTAAATATGAAATTGTAACAAAATTTCACGAATGACGGACATAATCGTCGTGACACAAAATTCCGCCGCATCTCCATGACGATTATAGTCGTCGAACACGCTTAACTGGTTAATCATTTTCGTGGACGATTTTGCGTAGTTTAGGATAGTAATCTAGTAATCCTTCGGGCATCTCGAAATCGGTTGCGATCGAAACCGTATTATCTTTTTCAACGTCGCATTCTAAACGAACTAACAAAATTCTCGCTTCTCGCGTTGAAAACACAACACCACACAGCGACATCACGGGGACAAGTTCATCTTTCCGGCAAACGAACGATCCCACGATCAGAAACCGCGACGCCAAAATCCAGTGGAACCGCGGCCTTATTAGCAACGAATAACGTGGATACAATTAACGGGGATACAGATGTCGTCCAACTTCGGACGATCCCGGACCAGCGTGCGACGGCGCAACGGAGCCATTATCATTGCCATTATCGTTATAAATTGACTGTGGGTCGTGAGGCAAGTTAGCACACGCGCAATACGGGGTCTAAATAAGACCCCGCGATCCGGCGTCCAATTAAATTGAATATTCCAGCCGACGAACGAACGGGGCGAACGGTCTAGCGCGTGATGAAGTTTCGGGGCCGTGTGTGTTCCGGCGAAGGAACGGCGAGGAGAGAGGAGCGAGAGAGTTTGGGATCCGGAGGGTCGAAAAACCGGGAGAGGACGGGGGACGCGCGCGGTACGTGGGTAAACTATCGAGAGAAAATAAATACGGGACCCGGGATTCGTTCGACTAACGATCTGAAAGAGAGTCCGTCTGGCAGCGGGTACGCGCGACTCGCCGTCGCTGCCGTTCAAACCGTGGAGCCCGTCGAAAAAAAAAACTCTGACAGTACTTTCCAGGTCTGCCTTTCTATTCCGTTCGAGTGACGCCAATGATAAAAAAAACACACACGGGCGCGCGCGCGCGAGCAAAGAGATAGAGAGAGCGAGAGCGAGAGAGAGAGGACGGGAGACCATGGGCTACGAATCTATCCGACGGGAGGCTCTACAGCCGGCTGGCCGGTCGATATCGGTAACTCGAATTAGCATGGGTAGAGGAGCTCGGGATCGGTATACTGCAACGAACGCGCGATACTTATCGAAAGTACGCTCACAATTGAAAGGATTTTCGAGCACGAGGGCACCGCGCGGATGCGTATTCGATACCCGAGGCGGTGAGCTGCGAGGAAAATCGACGGGAATTGAAAAAAAAAATAGAGGAGGATAGCGATAGGAGAGAGTCCGAGTAACGAAGAAGAGACGCGTACACGTGCATGCATGTATGCATGTATGTACGGGGAAAAAGAATCGCGCGACGACGGGTCGGTTACCAGGTGCAATTTTCGCAACCTTATTTCTTACGGGCGTGCCCGATTTAAATTGGTAGCAAGCCCCGGCAAGGTTGGATTTCATTTCGTCGAGTTTGTATTGCGCCCGAGCGGCGGACACGCCTCGCACTCTTTCGCGCCCGGGAGCACGACAATGTCGGGGAAACGCCGCGGCCACGTTAATCATATCTCGCGGACGATCTGAATATTTTCACGGTTACTTTATACCGGTAATGACCGGCTATCGACAGCGAGATGCGGCAAGGGCGGTCGGCCGGCCATGTTTAAACGGCCTTCTTCGCGACACGTATAATTTCCCGATAAGTAGAAACGTGCCCGATAAGCGGCCCGATCGGCAACAACAATGCGCGATGCATCGCGCGTGATTCATCGCGAACTGCGGTTTTCGTTGCGTGCGATTAACCCTTTGAGAACGAGGCTATCCGACGATCGTACGGTTGTAAAGTAACCTTGCGCACGCGTTCGCGGTCTCGTTCGAAAGGAATTCGAATTTTTTCGAATTTCAAATTGCACGGAAAATTGACCGAATCGTGGACGACGACGTTGCCGCCGTTCTCGAATAATTGTTCAAGAAATTCGAATTTCTTTCCGACAGTTTCTATGCCATTTCGCGTCGACGCGGTCCGAATTTGTTTACTCGATCGCTCGGTTCTGCGAACCTCGCACGTTGCTGCGCGTTGTTCGTTCCCCCGATTAGGTTCACCGAGATCGCGTCGTCGCGGTAATAACATTTATGAACGAGCGATACTCTTAAATGCAGCCCCGAACAACGCGAATACAGATGGCGTGCGTTTCCATTGGATTTATAGAGCATCGTTGATATTTCCGAAATATGTAGTCGATTTTTTGCCGATGTCGCGTTTGTTTCAGTCGAATTTCAATTTAGATCGTTCCCGCGAGCAAACAATTCTAAACTCGGTTTCACAGATTCCGACTTTAATTATCGGGTTGTTGTACCTCGCGTGGTACAAAGAGCAAACAAAAATGTGTTCGTTGATCGCATCGGTATCGCGAGATCATTGTCGCGGGAATTATTTATTAACGCGCCGGAGCCAAAAGCGCTCTAGTACACGCTATTGTTGTCGTAGCAGCGATACCGTTTCGACGATCAGACGTTGCTAACAATGATCCTCTTACGCGCGCGCAAATAATTTGCTCGACTTCGGGGATCCGGTGTTATTATACCTATTGGGATTATGGAATGAAAATGAATATGATTCTAATACTTTGCATAAAAGGACTTTATTTTATTCTCTTTAATGAGAGAAGGTATATGAGCGAAACCGATCGAGCGATCAAACTCTACTGAGAGTCCGGTAAGAAGAAACGCTTCTTTTATACTCTTTTTGGGTTCGTCGTGTCCACCAATCAGAGACGTTTTATTTGTCGCGTCTTACATTGTATACGTGACGGTCAGGGCACGAAGTACATCAAAAGGTACCGGCGATGATGTATCGCGGCATCTAATATATATAGATTACGTCACCGTCGCTGCCCGCTGACGGAGCCGGCGAAATTTTAATTTAATTTTATTTTAATTTAATTTTTTTTAATTTTATTTTAATTTAATTTTAATTTTTGTTCGAGGCTAAAATTCCAACAATACCTAACAATAAGACTAACGACCGTAAAACGATATAGCAATTTTATCCCGTATTCGGCGAATAGGAACGCCGCGCGCTGAACGCAGACGGGGATCGTCGCCTCGAGCCGAAATCGCTGTTTCAAGGTGAGAGTTTCAATCTGATTCGTCACTTTAGAAACTGTAGGTGTTGCAATAGAGCGCCGTATACTCGTCGGTATCAGCCGCGTCGAATCGAATTATACGGTCCGACCGCGATTAAACGGTGGAAAACTAAAAATTCTCTCCTCGCCCGGAAATGTCTCGATGTCGCCGATCGTTTTCGATATTTTTATTTTCGCCGGCAGGCCGTGCCAGTCGTTCCTGTCAAACGTGCACGCACGTATGCATGCACATCGGAACGGCAATGCACAAGTTCAAACACGAATTGTATATCCGAAACGATTGTAAACACGAGTACTTAATGATTAAAACGAAAATTGCCGACCAATTCGACTTGGCGCGCGACTCTAAATCGCGCCTAAATATTTCTCGCTATATGATACTCTTATGTTTCCGAATTTTCGTAAATATAAATAAAAATTCGAAGCGCGACATTAACGTAAGATCGCGCGATAAAAGCCGACACTTCAAAAATGTCGATCCGTTTCCGAATAGGTGGTTCCAAATGCGAACATTCGAATGCGAATTTATCGAACCGGCGGAACAATGAGCGCGGGTTGGAATCGGCCGAGTAACAAATTCGTATTCAAAGTTCAAACAGTTCGAGGCATTATTTACAGGTCTACCAGCGGAGAGAGAAAGGCGTGGAGAGAACGAAAAAGAAGAACACGCACGGAGAGAGGTAGGGCGAGAAGGACGATCGAGCAAGAGAAAAAGAAATAAAACCACTTACCGGGTGCCGTGCCGCAGCTGCCACAGCCACAGCTGCCGCCGCGTTTATACCGGCACTGGGGTACATCTTATCGTCAGAGTCCTTCGAAGAGGTTATGTTGGCTCCCTTCCGTCACGACGAAGTCCTGCCAGGAGTAATGGATATGTCCTCCGTTATCCTCAGGTATATCCAACGGTATCCCAGGTCATAGCCTGTACGCACTGTTATTCACTGGTCTCGAGGAAAGAACAATCAGAACCGAACGAGAAGGAACGATACAACAACAAAAATTGTCGTAAAGCAGGAAGTGGCGTCGAGCCAACAACAAGTCGAGAGAACGCGAAAGGAAGCGAGAGAAAGAGAGAGAGAGAGAGAGAGAGAGAGAGAGAGAGAAACAAGAAACCGAAAACACAAGGGAAACCCAAGTATAGTCGACGTCGCACACACCACTTTTGCACACTGGTCACTTTCCTCCTCTCGAGAGTCGTCAAACACACTCGCTGTTTCGTGGGCTCGTTTACACAAAAAAAGGGCGGGCGAGAACACAGAAAAGAGAAACGAGGCACGATTCACCGGCGTACAATAAGAACGCTCGACGGTGTTCGGGAGCACGGTAGAATTGTACGCGGTGCGAATACGCAGCGTAGAAACACACACAGGAGACGACGCAGCTCGCAACGATCTACCCTCGGCAACGGACGGGTATCAACTAATCAACCGCAGAGCCGAGGGGAAGCTCTTCCCTGCCGTTCCCCTGCATCCGCGCCCGTTACGCCCTCCCACTGCTCGCCACGACACCACGTGGTCTCCCCTCGTTCGAGCCTCGTCGCGCTCGCGGCGCCGCTCGTTTCTCGTTTCCCGTGTTACCCCCACCACCGCTTGATCGTTGCCTCTCGCTTTATCCCGTTGCGGCGCACACCTTCGACAATCGGGCTCTTAGCTCGTTCGTCTCTTCTCCGTCCGCGCCGCGTGTATATGCGAACTGGTACTAGTGCTTATACGTTTCAGCGAGACCGGGAATCCGTTCTCGTCGCGATCCGCTTTGCATTTTTCTTCTCTTCGTCTGTCTGTCTACTTCCCTCTATTCCTCCATCTTCCTCTTCCTCACCTCTCACTATATCTCTCTCTCTCTCGCTCTCTCTCTCTCTCTCTCTCTCTCTCTCTCTCTCTCTCTCTCTCTTTCTCTCTGTCTCTTTCTCGCTCGTTTTTATCCTTCTTTTACTTGAGCAAAAACGAGATTTGCGCGGTAGATCTTGCGGTGGAGTTTGTAGCTGCGTTACCGGCCGAGTATTAAATTATTACTACGGGACACGATGAACATCGCTAACGCGCGCGCTGGGAAACCCGTGTTCGCCTTCCTCTTTATTACACGCGAATTTGATCGCTTCATAACGAACGCCGGCGAATGCCACTGCCACCGTCGCCACCGCCGACGAGCCGCGACTCCTTCCAATCTGTTATTAAATTGAATCGCGCCGCGAGGGGGCTCCCGGACGATTTTAAAATAATTATCCCTTCGTTCGAACGATTACGCGAAATTTCGCGTTCCGATAATGGCGAACGGAACGGGAGTCGAGTCATTAACGACCACACCGACACATCGCACTCGAGCACTCGTAAATATTATAATAAATATAGCCGAGTCACACCTGCGTTCGAATTTAATGAGACTAAAGTGTCCGTCTACGACAATTTTTGGATAACAGCGTTCCGCGATTTGGGTAATCGCTTTTTTGACAATGGATCGAATTTTGTTCTTTGTAGAGCATATATGTGTCTCTGAATGTAGACAGATTTTTATTTTCAATTTGAACAGCGGCTAAAGAATGCCAATGCTCGTTCACGAGCTTAATTTTTTACGATGAGACTAGAGTTTCCAGTCGATTCAATTTAATTTAAACATGTTATTTATAGATTAACCCCTTAACTTGTACGCTCGAGATAATTCGAGCGACGTTGTATTTTATGCTGCTATAATTTCTCACACTCGAATATAATCGAGAATTGAAAATATCAATGTGAAAGCAAAGAAAAAAAATCGTTTTACTGATATTTATCTTTTACATGGGATTGTACAGGCTATGACACTTATTTATAATAATGTGTTTCTTCCGAAATAGCAATTCGGAAAGAAAGATAAAAGAGTCGATGTACGTGTAACATTGCAATATTCGGCTCTTTTCTGCAATGTGGATCAAAATTCAAAATAAAAATAAAAATTTTGATTATTTTTGTATTTTTTTAACTTTTTTGCCAAGACGATGTTCTAAATTGTGTCTTTTTTTACATAAAAAAAAATTGATTTTCTTTTGGCCGGGTTTTTTTCAAAAAAACTGTGCGTTAAAGATTTATATTAAATTTAACGAACATAATTTTCGTTGCGAATTCTTCCAGTGAAACTGTTTGCTACAAAAGCAAACGAAAACCTCGTCTAGACCGTTCAGACCCAATCGAGGAACCGATACCTGAGGAACCTCGTTCCAGGCAAGATTTCCATCGGGCCCATCTACAGGGTGATCGTAAAGTTTNCTCGAGATAATTCGAGCGACGTTGTATTTTATGCTGCTATAATTTCTCACACTCGAATATAATCGAGAATTGAAAATATCAATGTGAAAGCAAAGAAAAAAAATCGTTTTACTGATATTTATCTTTTACATGGGATTGTACAGGCTATGACACTTATTTATAATAATGTGTTTCTTCCGAAATAGCAATTCGGAAAGAAAGATAAAAGAGTCGATGTACGTGTAACATTGCAATATTCGGCTCTTTTCTGCAATGTGGATCAAAATTCAAAATAAAAATAAAAATTTTGATTATTTTTGTATTTTTTTAACTTTTTTGCCAAGACGATGTTCTAAATTGTGTCTTTTTTTACATAAAAAAAAATTGATTTTCTTTTGGCCGGGTTTTTTTCAAAAAAACTGTGCGTTAAAGATTTATATTAAATTTAACGAACATAATTTTCGTTGCGAATTCTTCCAGTGAAACTGTTTGCTACAAAAGCAAACGAAAACCTCGTCTAGACCGTTCAGACCCAATCGAGGAACCGATACCTGAGGAACCTCGTTCCAGGCAAGATTTCCATCGGGCCCATCTACAGGGTGATCGTAAAGTTTCTGACAAATTTTCGAAACTCGTAACTTTCTTTGTAAAAAGTAGCTTCTGGTTACAAATTCTTTGCAACAAAAAAATCTGCCTATCGCCATAATTCACAGGAAATTTCTCGGAACATACAATCGAAACGATACCGAACAATTTTTACTTCAACTTTTGGATATTTTTGTACACAAAGGATTTAATTTAAAATAAAATAAAAGCATTTAACAAGATCTTGGCGCATAACCATAATCGTTTCGTTTACCAACTGAGATTTCATAACTTTTATACGTTGGTTCATTTACTTTATTTCGTATTCTACGATTGTATTGTATATCCATTAAAAATATAATACATTTTTCAAATCGGTAAGACTTTTACATCGCTTTGTATAAAATCAATCAACAGATACCGATACACTTATTGCAAGATCGTATCGAAATATAATTTTTCAATATAGGTTCCCATCATTTTATAATTGAAAATTAAAAAAAGTTCGTTCCCTTTCTCAGCAAAATATCGAAATGAAATCCCGAAAAAATTATATTAAAACAAATTGTAGAGGCGCATAATAAATCTAAATTTTCTATTTCTCGTAGAAAATTCCGAATAACAAATCGTACGATACGGAATTTTAGGTTCGTAGAATTTACCTCGGAAAAGGTGTTCCACATTTTGAACACCCTGTAGACTATTTCCTTGTTATTTCTGGCCCCTGCCGTTCGGAGTCCTTCCGCCACAATCCTACAATCTTCTCTCACGAACCAGCACTTTTTGGTCGGTTTACTTTCGTTCCGTTCCCCGACACGAATCTTTCGGATTGGAGTTCAGTCTCCTCGGTCATCTGTCATCCTTGTCACGCTTGTTTAGTTTCTCTCATTTTCGTCCTCGCTATCTCTGCGGACCGTCCGTTTCATCCACGACCTCGTGATTCCCGTGTACCTTGCCCTTCTCGCTCTTTCGGCAGCATATTGGGCGAGCTCTCTTTCCTCTCCCCCTGCACCCTAGCTCCAAAACCTCTTTCCCTGCCGCCTAACTGGGTGTACTCGAGCCCGTATATATTCTACGTGCACCGGTCACCGTCGTGCGCATCCCCTTTCGGACGCGACACGACAGCCATCGACGACCTTTCCGCCCCAACTCCCCGAAAACAATTATTATCGTTTTACCCTCGCCGCGCTCGGTGACATTTGATCTTGGGCGGTGTTGTTTAGCGAGAGAGAACGAAAGAAGCGGGGTGCAGACAGCTTCTGGGATCCGTGGAACGAAGACTTGTTCGGTCGGCGAGCGAGGTTTTTAATGACCGGCGACACGCGAGGTATGTTCGTCACGAAATTTCGCGGCTGCCAGGCAAATGGAAGAAGAAATTACGGAGGCTCGCTAATGACACCGTGGCCGAGCTCGAACGGGCACGGTTTAGCGATCGCGGCTCAAGGAAATCGCGACGCTGTGAATTCTGAAGCATTTTTCGCCTACTTCTTTCTCTTCGCGGAGACACGATTTTTTTTAGATAATTTAAGAAGTCGCGCATTCGGGTTTCGAGTAATTGCAGGCTTTGTTTTGACATTGTACGTTGGACTGTTTAGCTGTCCCCACGTGACTGCTTCTCAGGTGCTTCGAAGTATTTTAGACCCCCCTTGTCGTACTTTCATGTGTCGGACTCGCGATGGTGATCTTTTAACACTTCATTGCTCGATGTAACTTTGAAATAATGCTCTGTTACATGCACCGCAATTTTCAACTTTCACTTCACATACGACGGAAAACTCGGTCTTTTTTTAAATAGCGAATTCGTTATTAATTTGCATCTCGTGATTAATATTTGACGGTATCGAATAATATCGTTCAATACAGTTTAATCAAGTAAATGTAGGCATACGATAAATATAAATTTTTGTTCTTTTCTGAGACCGGTGTAAATCAAAAATAAAATCTTCTTTTCTAAGAAATTATTGCAATGGAAACAGTTGTAATCATTATAATTGTTAAGAAGACGGCGCGACGAGGTTTCAAATGTTGTAGATGAAGTTTTCAGTAATTGCAAGCTGTTCCGATACTATAGAACTGTTTCGCTGTTTACGCGACTTTTTTCTACAAACAAAAGAATTGCACAATGCCACGTGCAAGGCAACCCCCCCCCCCTACCAATTTGCCCGTGACAAAAATAATCGAATGAATCGACTGTAATTTCATTGGAGTTCCTTATAAAGATCGTTGACACGTCTGTTACGTTCGGGCGGGGTACTACAACCGGACGGTTCGTTAATTTTGTTAAAACAATTATATTCGCCAAGGTGCAAGCACTTGCATCACCGAATAATAATATCTTTCAATAAAATCGGTGCCTTGTGTTCGTGAACTTTGTCACGTGTTTTAACGTTGACACAGCGGCAACACGTTTCGAAGCGAACTTTTTATGTAAAACAAATTCAATCGCGCCGTTGATGAAATAAACTCGATGGAATTTCGAAAGAACCGCGTTAACGCGGGTCTCTTTTTTTACACGCTTTTTCCGACCGAATTCATTAATACGGACTTTTATGAACAGCAAGAGAGCGGAATAATCGTTGGAAAACGTAACAATGTAACTTTCGAAGGACTTTATTTATAATACTTG